GAATCTTCACACAATTCAGCACTCACTGCACAGTGCTGCACAGCAGAAAAAAACCTATGACTATTTCTTGCCCTCACCTCATGATCTCATCAGGCTGCTTGGTATTGTTGAAAGCGAAACCGAAATCAATACTAAAAACAGAGCATAACCAGGACGCAGTTCAGAGGTACTACTCACTCTGAGTTCAAGAGTTTTGAGTTTGCCTGCCAATCTCAGAACTGCATTGTAGCCATTCAAAGCTTATGCATTTTCTGTTCAATCAAAATTTCTTAATTTACAATGCTGCATGGTTCGCGCGGCAGCATTCACTAGACAATATCCAGTGGACCACAGACCCCACTCGCTGGCCATGTCTCTATCTAATATATATGGGAATTCTTTTATTCGTGGTACGATCTCACAATGTATAGCTGTACGTGGGGCTCAAAACAGTTCGATACGCAGGATCTCTACATATTTCCACAGAGAATAACACGAAAAACATTGTTATCAAGAGGCTTTGAAATGAAACACGTCCACCCCATTCGTTACATTGCTTGTTATATAATTAATTAACTTTTGTTATTTACACTCATATACTATTATGTCCCAGGCGGTTCTAAGTTGGGTTGTGCTGCTCATATAAATGTCATACGTAACAGTTTTTCCCAATGTTTATTATCTTATTAGACTTGATGTTCTAAATATTATGATGTGTGCAATGTTATTTGTCGTTTTTATCCAATGTTGCCTATCTGATGTCCCATTATTAGTAGTATGAATTAGTAAGCACGATTTAAACCCGCGCACGCGGGGTACCCGCAGCTAGTATATATATATATATATATAGGTGGTGGTGTGGTGTGTCTATGATGATGTGATATGTCTATATATGTGATGTGCATATTGATATGTGACAATGGATCAGCAAAAAAAAACGTATAGTCAACCAACCCGCTAGTTGTACGTGCCATGCGTTAACTCTAACTTTACTTTCCTGTCACCGCTTTGCAAATAATTCCTCGTATGCGCTTTCTCGTCACGCTAGAGCCGACAATGCAGAGCTATAACGCAGACGCGGATGAGACGCGCAGTTCCGCGGGATATGCGCACGCGACCGCGGGGATGTTCAAGTATGAAGCGCTGTTCGCCGTGGAGACGTGCGTCAAATTCGAGGCCCGGCGCACGTCTCCACAGCGGTCAGCGGATGATCTGTAGTTTTATAGAAGATAACAATGAAGACTTAGTTCTAAATAAGAACTATCGGCGGCTAAATAAGAGCAATATACAGACCTTTGAATTTCTTGACTAGTCAGTCAAATTAAAGGGCTTGTTGGGGGTCCATTATGCAAAGCTTCCGATTGAAATGACCCATGAAATTGTCCCATACTTAAAAATATAAAACACTGGTGCGGCGTAGGCTGTGATTGGAAGACACAAAGTGTCAATACTCGGCGCGCCTCGGCATCATGGCCGCATCACGTCCACATGAAAAGGAACTAACACATCAGTTGCGAAACTGTGTAGTAGACTGTATTTGAACCACTTGTTGATCAAATGTTTGGGATATAAAACACACGTTCAACAACACATATAACACACACGTACGCACGCGCGCACGTAGGGGGGGGGGCATGCCCCCCGAAAATCTTTTTTATTTTGATGCAAAATGGTGCAATTTGACGCATTAATTCTAAGATCACCATATCTGCATTTTTTCCTGCATTGTAGTGATAATGTACATTATGAAAACACATAATTTTTCCATTATATCGCAATATATACATCTAACGATGTATTCTTTAATTCCGAATTTTAATAACCGCTCGAGGGGAGCAGACTGCAATTTCAGGCAATCGATAAATCGAACGCCTATGGTAGAATACGCGAGCGTGAGGATGCACAGATGGACTAAGCGTGCGAGCGATTAGGCGCGGGTAGCGACGCTCGCGCGAGTATCGCCAGCACTGTCGCGTAGGCAAAGTATTACTTAATGTACGGAAAGATAATTAAGTGGGTGTCGCGTCGCTGCTGTTTCTTGATTTACGCGAGTTTGCATTACGCGAATTTGCAATAGCGCGTATCACCTTAATAACAATAAATATACTTGAAGAATAACAAGAACAACACTACAAGAATAACGCGACGCAGCGACTGCCGCGACTGACGCAGCGACTGGCGAGCACGTAAGATAAATGTGATGTGTTATTCATTGTATTAAGCAACCCAGAAAATGTCTAAACATGTACGTGTGCATTGGTGGCTGCGCTTCGCTTCCGCTGCTGATGCGCAGGTGAAGGCCGATACTTGCCGATATGAACTTCAATATCGGGTATCGGAAAATGTCGCAAATAAGTCAAAATATCGGCTGCTGAAATTGAAATTATGAAATCATGAAGTTGGTCCGTTAGATGAATCATCATTACTGTACTGTGTGTGGGGGGGGCTAGGGTAATTGTCCGGGGGGTGAGGGCAATTGTCCTGGTGGGTAATTGTCCGGGTGGGTAATTGCCCTGGTGGGTAATTGTCCTGTTGGGTAATTGTCTAGGTAGGTAATTGTCCGGGGGGTAGTTGTCCTAGTAGGTAATTATCCTGGTGGGTAATTGCCCTGGTGGGTAATTGTCCGGGGGGTAATTGTCCGGTGGGTAATTGTCCAGTGCATGGGTAGTTGTCCGAATACGCTTTCGGAATGTATTATATTATTGGTACAGCTGCTGGACACAAAAGCGCGATACCACTATTTGAATAAATACGCATGGTGAAAGCTATACACGCCCTCAATTCTAGTCGTATAACCAACGCATCGTTGTTGTAACATATCGTATAGAACTTACACTGGCACCGTTCACGCGATCCCCGATCGTTCCCACGAATAGGATTTTCACAGAGAGAGATTTTTAACGGCGAGCATAAACCACAAAAATAATATAGGTGTCTTTATATATATATTTCTATGGCATGAACACACAAACACAGTATATACGCCGCACCTGACTGCGCGCTTGCGGTCGTGGCGCAACACAGTAGTCGTGTGTGTGGATCGCATGCACGCATGCAGACGCCCACGACTATAACCGTCAATCAGCACACTGCGACAGCCCGCCTTTTCGAAATCATGCCCGAGTAACGCACAATCAGGATTAAGATTGCGTGACGGTATAAATTGCCATGTCATGCGACTTATTGCACACGCCGCACAAGTGACAACCCTACACTCGTCAAGCGTGGGTTTCTACTATATTAAGTCCCGGGAGACAATAGATTAAGTAACAGGACAGCACAAATAGCTTTCCGTTTCATTCATTAGGTTGTCCCGTGTAAGCGCTCGTATATGTTAAAGATAGCTAAGTCAGGTAAAGGCCTAACCCACAGCTCTGCCCACAGCATCTGAGGTAACTGGCGTGACAAGATGACATGCAGCGCCACCTGCTTCAATGACTCCTTGAGAATATGCGCAGTCGACGACAGCACTGAATGATTAAATGTTGAATACGCGTATTTGATTACCTAGCTCTGCTCTGTATGGGAGAAAATCGCGTCTACTTTGAAAGCCACCTGTGCCGCAATTGTTTGATGCTACGAAAACCCATGCAATGTGCAAACGCTTATATAACACATGCGCGCACTTGAATATACGTGTCTGTATATTATATTATGCACGCTAGCGTCTAATTAATTTTTGTGAATGGCAGGCTGAGTGTCTATAAACTCGTTTTTCTAATTGTTAGACTTGTCATTCCATATATCTAAATATTTATCATCTACAGTCACATATATTCAAGATTGTCTACGAGCCGATTTGACGTAGGTTTATAAGGGTTAACTCAGGCATGTAATGCCCCAATTCAGATCCTGCTACACCTAATCTTATGGATTACGAAGCTATTATGGTCGAAATGATTTATTAAGTAAACGATTACAGCTTGTAGTCGGGAAAAATTACTGGGCTTATGACTGTATTTATGACTCTGATTGTTAGAACAGAACTTCATGATGTGCAATTTCTGAAATTTTTTATATTTTTCAGTGATATAGCAACAGAGACCGTTTGAAACCAAATTTGCGCACTTTACTCTCGAGTGACCAACCAAGAATTTATATCGACAGTATCTCATTGAAATAGAATCCTGGCAATTTTTCTCACAATAAACCAGGAAAATTGGATATTGAACGGGCATTCAGTTTATATCATAGCAATTGATGCTAGTATGTAGGAAGCCCAGTGCAGTAGCCTTCTGCCACTCCCCGTTGCACAATTGTTTACTGTTGCACTACTTCATCTTGGAAAGGGCTCTTTTAATTTATTATGTGGTAATGTTAACATTAAATTTGCATTATGCACGCAAGGTAGACGTCTAAAAGGCATGGAGTGAGATTGGTCTTGTCGTATCATTCCATCAAGTGACGTAGATTGTGGCCGTTTTCGTGTTTGAAACGAGATCCGTCTACTTGTTGGAAATGGGCATCATTAATTTTAGCTAGCAAGTTTCGAGCGGAGTCTGGACCTTGAATCTGTGGTTATTTAGCATTAAGTGTATGTTGCGTATGTGCCGACACTATCAGAGTATCTTCGATTTTTTTTTTCTTCGATGCTTATTCAGGCCTGCTGCCTATGGGCGCCCTATGGCGCTCGCCGCCCACACCATGGCGCCCTATGGCGCCCACACCATGGCGCCCTATGGCGCCCACACCTATGGGTGTACATATTAGAGAAACCGAATTTTTGAGTTTGGCATTTAAGACACACTGCGCCATCTAGTGGCATTAAGCGTGTGAATCTTGGTCTAATTTCACCGTAAGCATGTAGCCCAGTTACAATCATGGATAACATCCGTAGACAGGGATTAATACTTTTACGTTACTATTATTATTTACTACTTATTATTTCTACGTTACTATTCTTGCATAATAGTAATATACTTACTATATACTTCGGATAAACAAACTATATGCAAAATAATGGTCTTGTCGTAAAAAAGCCAATTTCACAAAGGAATAAGAAACACAAGTAAGAAACTTAATTGAATACAACAATAACTTGACATTTTTATAATATAAAAATTTTCAAATTACACGATCCTCTTAACCATGATGAATAACAACAGTGTGAATTTTACGGGAATATGAAAAGCTGCTAAGCTTTTGTGGAAACACATATGCAATCATAGTATCCTATAATCATTATCATAGTTGAAACCAGTAGATCTTATCCAACCATAGACCGCTTTCTACCTCTCAAACGAACCTCTTCAAATTTACTCATCACCTCACGTAAACCTTTTTTATTTGCCTCCTGATATGCACTGATAATATGAGCAAACAGCTCTTCACTATTAGGATGTGTACTTAGAAATGCTCTCTCGAGGACATACAAGTCGACACCTTTGTCTTCAGCACTTGCTTCAACATAACTAAGACCAAAATCAATTAGAATTATGTTGGCATCTGCTGCTGGTTCAAGCAGAAGCATATTTGATGTCGTCAGATCACCATGAATCAAATTATTGCTGTGTAGGGTACCAATGATCGCTCCAACCTTGGCCATGAGGGGCACTAAGAGCCTCTGCGCATCGCCAGAACCCGCCTGTACCTTCTGTATAAAGTCGCGAACTGTATTGGAATTCTGGATGTGCTCCATGTAGATCGAACTTTTTTGCTCATCTACAAAATAGATAACTGGAACTCTGACGCCAATCTGCCTACACTTTGCAATGGCTCGCAACTCTGCCTTCATCCTCTCTCTCGTCAAGCTAGCGTCAAGAGCAGGATGCCGGTATGTCTTTGGAAATCGCTCCTTGACGACAGTTGGCAGACCAAGAAACGTCACAGCATGAATCTTTGACTCCGCTCCCTGTTTCAGAAGTATCGACGATTCAGACGCACCTAAAGTCGACGACATTGTTGTGGCAGTGTGTCCGTGCGTGTCTGCATATGTGTGCGTGTGGCGTGTGTCTAACCTGTCTTCTTACTCTCTTTCAGTGATGTTATTGACTGGTGAAGTTCTTCCTTGTCTCTAAGTAGAGCAACCTTCAGCAGTTCTAGGTTTTCTCGAAGATTTCCTTGCTCAGAGAGTGAGTTGCCAAGCGCTTTGTTAACTTCAATGAAGGTGCTGACTTTACTATAAGTTAGTTCAACATCTGACTTGGGTTTTCCACCGCTGTCCAGTAATTCGTCATGAAGCACACTCAGAGAGCTGGTAGAATCACTAAGGAAACTATCATCTAGAGAGAGAAAAATATAATAGAAAAGGGTATTTATTATAGCATTTCACTAATATTCTTCCAAATACATTCAGGCAGACTAGAATATACTGACTACATTATACTGCAGCATGATCCGAAATGCCACAAGAATGTGGTACGTATTCAATTTACTGTAGTACTCTAGCTCTAGAACTATTGCCCTCCGCTCCGCCGCAGGGCTGGAGTTCCGCTGCCGCTAGCCCTGTGGCAGAGCGGAGGGCTATAGTTCTAGAGCTAGTAGTACTCTAGCTCTACCCATATAGCCCTTTCAGTGAAGGCTTCACAGTTCTCTTAGGCCCCCGCACACGGTGAGATTCCTGCTCAGCACGAAGCTCATGCTCCGTGCTCCTCAGGAACATCTCACCCCCGCACACGATGAGCTTCGTGCTGAGCAGGAATCTCTGCGCAGGTGCCACTGTCTGGTGCAAGGGGGCACAAAGCGACCATTGGAGCGGGTGCACGGCTGAACCAATCAAAATGCGCAGCCAATTAAGAATAACTAAATACACATGCGCCAACAGTAAGTTCAGCCTCGCGAGACCAAAATGATCAAACACGACAGATATTTTCCTCACCGCCTCGCGAGACCGAAAACTCAGTGAGATTGACCCCCACACACAGTGAGCTTCTTGCTGAGCAGGAGCCTCACAGTGTGCGGGGGCCTTTGCTTTAGGATTATAATTTTGTTACATGTAACATTGTCATTGTAAAACCAGGACAGCTCTGTAACGACTGCTAGTCACGCTCATAGGGTCTATGTCCCCCAGGGTACTGCCGGAACGTACCCTGGGTACGGTCCGGTATACCGGAACGTACCCTGGTAACTATCTAGCTGATATATGGTTAGGGCTAGGGTTATGGTTAGAGTTAGGGTTAGGGTTAGAGTTAGGGTTAGGGTTAGGGTTGGGGTTGGGGT